TACAGTATGGCGTCTCTCCCCTCATTGGTAATGCTAGACACGTATATGCCATACACACACTCTCCCTCCCCTCACTTCCCCTCATTTTATCTCCTGTTGCCTCATCTCCTTTTATTATTGTTGCTTCATCCTGTCTTCTCGTATTCTTGCTCCTTTCCCCTCTTTATTCAGTTGCTAATTCTTTCTCTCGTTATTCTCCGTGTTCTTTTTCCCCTCTGTTCGTCATTTTGTCTTTTCTGGTCTTCTTTTGGTGTTGCTTCTTCCCCTCTTTATCTTGCTGTTGTCCCCTCTTCATCCCCTCTTGTTTCCCTTTTTCTTCTTCACTTGAGTGTCCTTCCTGCTTTCATTATACAGTAGATTTTTTTTCTCCTCTTCCTCTCCACCTCTCCGTCCTCCTCCTCCTCCTCCTCCTTCTCCTATTCCTCATTTTCCTCGAGGCTACAGAGTCTCCCCTCAGCCTTTCGCCTTTTTCTGCCTTCTGTCTTTCCCCTCACATCCACCTCTCTCATTTCCTTTCTCTTCCTTCCCCTTTTATTTCCCCTTCCGTTGTCTCTCTGTCTCCCTTGCCTCCCTTTCCCATATTTTCCCCTTCTCTTTCCTCCTTCATATTTTTCCCCCTCTCCTCCCCATGCCCCCTCAACTCACCTTCTCCCCTCACCTCTCTCCCCCCTCACCTCTCCTCCCTTTTCCTCTCACTTCCCCTTTCCCCCTCATTTTTTCCCTTCAACCATATTTTTTCCCCGCACCGGTGTTTCCCCCACTCCCTTTTTTCCCCCCTCACCTCCCAAGAGACCTGAGGAATATGACCCCTCAGGTAATTACCAAACTGCTGTTGTGGAGGGATGGTGATGAGGGGGGGGGTGTAGGAGAGGGGAGGGAAGGGTAGGATAGGGGAGGGAAGGGTAGGGGAAGGGAGAGAAAGAGAAAAGGGGAGGAAAGGAACGAAGTTAGGGGGAAGTGAAATGGCTAAAAGAGGGGATAAGAGAGGGGGAGAGGATGTGTGTGAGAGGTAAGGGGAGATAATGAGGGAATGAGAGAGAGAGAAAGACAGACAGACAGACATCCGGATAGAGAGGGAGACAGACAGACAGCCGGATAGAGAGGGAGACAGGCAGACAGCCGGATAGACAGACAGACAGACAGATAGACAGGCGGATAGAGAGAGCGTGTGACAGGTAGGGAATGAGAGAGGGTCAGCAGACAGGTTACCATGACAACGGGAGGCGGGGCTACCAGACGGTAACTCAGTGCTGCGTAGTTATTCCCTCCCTCTCCCACGTCTCTCGCAGGTGTCTCTCCCAGGTGCCATTCCCGCCTCCCTCTCCCAGACTTTGCAACCACATTCCCCTCCCAGGTACTCTCCCACATTCGTCTCCCACTACTTTTCCACCTTTCTCACCCACCACTCACCCACCCCTCTCCCACCCTCTCCCACCTCCCTCTCCCACGGCAGGCATAAAGGAAAAATGGTTAATATAGAACCAGGTTTAAATGAGAGGACCTAATCAAAGCCTCGGGGAGACCGTGTGGTATAAATACTGTACCTCCTGACGATGTAGTGAGAGAGAGAGTCTGGATGGGTGGTGAGAGTCATTACCCATTATTTGCCATTATTACCCTCCACTCCCTCCCCCCCCCTTACCCCACCACTCCCATACCTGGAGGTAATTGGGAAGGGGAGTGAAGGGGTTATCGATTTCGCTTTGTGCATGTGTGTGTGTGTATGTGTGTGTGTGTGAAGGCCTCTCTCTCTCTCTCTCTCTCTCTCTCTCTCTCTCTCTCTCTCTCTCTCTCTCTCTCTCTCTCTCTCTCTCTCTCTCTCTCGTAACCATAACACCATCAAGGTCATATAACACCAGCCAGGGTAAAAAAAAACACGTTTCACTCCCCAAACAACAGCCGTTAAGGACCCATTAACCTTTGACCTGACCTGACCTCTGGGGTTATAGAACAGAATCTTCCTTTGTTTTTGTTATGTTTAAAGGAAAGGTTTTGTTTTGGTTTTTAAATGGAGGTAAATTTCTACCTTTTTAGGGGGATCACATTTAAATTTTAGGGAGATTGGAGAACTTTTTTAGGGAAATTACTTTTGGGGGGGGGTATATTGGGCCATGATATTGGTCAATTTAACTTTTTAACTTTCGAAATTTAATAAATGTTAAATATAAGACCTTTTTAACATTGTGTCAGGAACCTTTTGTGTTTTCGGTGAGTGAGAGGGAGAGAAAGCAGTCTTATATTTTTGGGTGAGAGTGAGAGGGCGTAATACTTAATTTTCCTTCTTCCTTCTCTCCTTCACCCTACTTCCTTCTTTCCTCTCTCACCCTTCTTGCTTCTTCCTCTCACTAACCTTCCTTTCTAATTTCCTTCCTTCACCCTTTCTTCCTTCTCTCACCCTCCCACCTTCCCTTCCATCTTACCTTCCTTCTCTCCTCTTTTTTTACTCTTATCTCCTTAACCTATTCCACTTTTCTCCTTCCTCTCTTTCCTTCCATCCTTCATATGCCTCATCCACTTCCTCTTTTTTCCATTCCACCCTCCTTCTCTTCTTCCTCCTCCCCCTTCTCCTTCTCCCCATCCTTCTCTTCCTTCTCCCCCTCCTTCTCTTAACACCCCCCAGCACATAACTGAGAGCTGTAGTACTCGACCATGGTTCAATTACCCCAAGTAAAACGAACAAAAAGTTTTAAGCATTTTTAAGAATTTTCCTTTTTTGTCCGTGTTGAATTACCTGTGGGCGGTGCAGGGTCACGTGTACAGGTGGAGAAGTAAGAGGAAAGTAGTGGTGCTTAGGAGAGGTAAGGGAGAGGTAAGCTGAGAAGAGGGGAGGTGTGAGTGAGAGTGGGGAAGATAGAGGAGCGCTGGTTAATTGTTGGTCGCCAGGATAGTGAAGCGCTAGGTCGAGTTTGTCTCTTAACTAATGCCGAATAAACCTCCTCTTATTTCCGTTTTTCTCCCTCCCTCCTTCATCACCATTTATGTATACACAGGGATATTTGAGTATAAACGAGAGGCTCGGTGTATAAAACTGGTCAATTCGTGTATAAACTTAATCCATTTTTAACATTGATAGTTACGAGGATACATTAGACAGTTTGCACTACGTTAACCTTTGAGAATCATGGGCACAGAGATGTCGTTTAGCAGAGCGTAATTAACCCTGACATTTCGCCTAGTCAGATTGTCAACTGGTAATACGTCCTGTGTCTTCTGTTACTGATATGATAGTACATCTTATCTACTTCACTTACGACGAAGAGAGATACTCAGACCAGGAAATATGTCGTCGATAATGTACTGAGACTAATATATTGGGGTATTATCAGAATCATGCAGCTATATATATATATATATATATATATATATATATATATATATATATATATATATATATATATATATATATATATATATATATATATAAATATATATAAATATATATATATAAACCGGATGTGTGAGTGGACTGCCAAAAAAACGGTAGCTGGCAGGCGTTTGGGTGTATTTGGCAGAGGTGAGGTAAAACATTACATATTATGGGGGTCACTGACATAATTGAAGCGTCACCATATTTGGACAAGTGTAAACACTCCGTGACGTCAGAACTCACGAGGTGGGGGGGGGGATTTTCTTAATTGCCATGGCTACCTATACAGTATATGTGCTGTACTGAAGACGGCTTAGTTTGTTAATAGTAAAACTTAGGAATTTATAGCTGTACAGTATTAATCCTCGACTGCACCCTGGAAATATAACACTGCACGCAGCTTCTCACAAAATATATCCCATTAACAGTGAGGAGTAATGGGCCATCATGTATAAATGTCTGCCGAATAATGTACTATTTTTTTTAATTATTTATATACGTTAGATTTTCTGATGAATATGCGTGATTTGGCAAGTCGTTTTGTCCCTGATTTGAATATATAGAAGGATTGAATTATTTGTGCTTTAATTACGGTGGATAAAATTCAGGATGGCATTACTCACTATCTCTAAAATATTTAAAATATTTTCGTTAATACTATATCTGGAAATATGGTGATCATTAACACTGAATATCATGAATTATGAAATACGAAATATAGAATTTTGGAAACTATTTCGGTAAAATGTTATTTTCCCCAATATTTTGCTAAACTTAGTAATTTTTAAAAACGTTTGTTATGTAATTGTTTTGTTTATGTCGGTTGGTGAGTGCTGACAAGTATTGGTGCAGGAGCTCATATTGGGTACTGTCACAACATTATCGTGCAGGTTATTCCACGAGTTTACAATTTGTACATCAAAGAATGTAGTTCTGACATTTTTCAGCACTGATAACTTCTTTAACTTAAGGCTGGAAACTCAAGTGGGGGGGCAAGCCACAACACCAAATATGTACAATTGGGGTCAAAAGTTCGCTCTCTCCCCAAATGGAGCACCCAGGGTACGTAAGTTCAGAGACTCATTTCCGTGACTCGGTTTCAACCAACGGGGAGCGAACTATTGCCCACGACTGTACACTTGTCTTTTGATGTGCTTATTAACCTCTAAGTATTCTAATCTTGGTAAGTAGACCAAACAGGATGACAGTACTTGTGGCAGTACAATGCGTGAAAAATTTGGATCTTATTAAGAATTTGGACTGTATTCCAAATTTTGAAGCTTCCATTAAAGATACCATTTTTTTGTGCTGATTTTAAATGTGAAACTCATGTTTTGTGGAAATTTTTATTTGTGACTTATAAGTCTACGAATCAGAAGTGCTGGCCAATCATGCTTAATATAAGCATAGATTAGGTTACGCCAGGTCATTGTTTTATTGTTTTAGTTTTATATATATATATTTTTATTTTATTTTGGTGTTGAATTGCTTGTTGTAATTTATTCCGGTGTTTGAGGGTTATGCCAGTATTGCCCCCATATCATCTGTTAAATTGGCAACACCAACAGAAATCTACTCATCTTTCACCTCATCTGTAAAAACTCAACATCTAAGAGACTTTTCCTCTCCCCAGCAGTGGTCCTTGTAACGGGAGTGAGTGGCTACTTGGGGTCACATGTCGCCAAGCTGCTCCTGGAGGAGGGCTACAAGGTCCGAGGAACCGTCCGTAGCCTGGAAAATGAAGCCAAACTCGAACCCCTGAAGAACCTCGTCCCTGATGCTAAGTTTCCTCTTGAATTGGTTGCAGCCGACTTAACCAAAGATGAAGGATGGGACAAGTAAGTGATACTGTGATGTATACATTATGGTGCTTTAATTTGGGCATTTGTTTGTTTATTCTTTGTATGTTGTAAATTTAGTGGGAGATTGTGTGTTTCTGTGAATGTGTGCAGATGGCTGTAACTTCTCATCAGTAATAGATGGTACTGTAACAAAATTTGTATTTTGTCAACTTATTTCTTCAGTACTTTATACATTTTATTTGCAAATAAATTAGTCGTATTTAAAGTAAAAGAATTTGTTCTCTATATATGAATTTTCTACTTTTTTGATGAACATAAATTTTGTAGTTTCACATCAAACACATCTCTAAATACTTGTAGGTTTATTTATAATTTTTTTTACACATCAGAGGGGTGGAGCTTTGTAGTGTTTTCTATTTTAAGAACATGTTGGTGGTAATCTGAGTACAGGTTGAACAAATGTCCCCCCCATTGTGGTGGGTCACAGGAATGAGTCTCTGAACTGACAAAGGATGCAAATTGTCTGTAGACAGATGATATGCAACACCACTCTGGGTATTACGATTTCTTCGGCCTAGTTGATACAGGCACCTGTTACACGACTCACTTTCTTCCTAGGGAGAAGGAAACTGTCTTCCTCGAGGATAAAATTTGAAAGATTTGAATTAGATGTGATTTGAATCTAGTGTGAGATATGTGTTGTAAACTTGACTCACCCAATCAGACAATTTACATCAGGATATGTCTAATCCAACCTCAGTGTGAAAGCACCCTTACCCCGACTGTTGTCTTGTGTGAGTGTGCTGCTTCATTTTATTTGGGGTCAATACTTTGTACTGCTTCAATTTAGGAGGGAGCAAACTTTGTTCACGACTACATACAATAGTGTGTTTCAGTACAGTTGGGGTTAAAAGTTTGCTCCTTCCCAATATGAAGCAGCATCAACCCTTAATGAGATAAAAAGGCACACCAGCACCAATTGAGAGTCAGGTTAAGTAACCGGAGACTCTTTCCCATGACTCAGTTTCACCATGGGAGATAACTTTTGTCTGTAACTATACAGGTCTTTGTGAGTAGATGAAAATTTCTTGGGAACATTCTGTATTTAGAATTTCAAACATACATTACTGTACTTTCAAATTAAATATTACAGTACAGTACTGTGTAATCAACTGTTTTTTTTCCTTTTTCCAGTTGTTGATTTTAAATTACACTTCAAAATTTATTTGAAATGTTATTGTTGCTGTCCTTGAAAGATTGAAACTCATGTGAGGGATGGATGTACTGTACAGTACAGTAAGGATGGATGACAGTGGTGCAGATCTGGTGTGTCATGCTGTCTGTCAGGAGTGTAACTCTATTTTACTAGTATATGCCATGTGTCACTTGTTAAATGCCAGATGGGAGATATGAGATGCAAAACTTGGTGTGTTTTAAGCCTAAAGTTAACTCGTTTGAGGAGGCAGTATAGAGGCTGTTTTGACCAGAGAAGAACCAAGTTGTTTATTTTATGACTTCCAAGAGCTTTAGGAATAGTCTAGATATTAATAAAGATTTTGTGATTTTGCTGTTTTTTCTAGTGGGATGTGGTGTGTTTCAGGCTAGTTTTAGGGTGCAGATCACAAGTTCTTTTAGCAGGAACTAATTTGTTGTATGCTGTATATGATATCCTTGAGTTGTTAGAGATGCTGTAGACATTAATAAAGACGATGCAGTTTTGCCCACTTTTTGTCAAGCTTCTTTATACTACGTCAGAGACGAATTTGTTTTACTCACATTATTTTAAGTCAGTTGAATTTACACTAGAAGTAGTACATGTACTGTATAGCATACCGGTATTCAGAGTCCAAAGGTGCTACAGGTATAAGTGTGAGTTAAATAAGTTTAGTTTAGGTCACATCAAAGCTGCTGTCATCACCAATTAACATACAAGTTTAGGTTGCATGTAAGCTGTACATAATCAAGTAACATCCATAATTTTAATAGCATCTAAGCTGTCATAACCAATTTACATAAATAGTTTTTGGAAGCATCTAAACTGCCAGCATTTTCAAGGTTATAATGAACCTAATTATTTTTAATCAAGGGCTGTGTTGGACTGTACAAAAGTTGTCCATACTGCCACTCTGAAGGGGACCCAAGCTGAGGGTTTGTCAGAAGCCACTAAAAAGTTCCTGACTGCCTGTGCTGCTGCCAAGACCATCACCAGAGTTGTTTTAACCAGCTGTGCTAATGCTGTCTTTGGTACTCCACCACTTTAACTCTACTTAATAATTATTGTATGCATGAAAACTAGCTATGCTTTGCAGCCTTACAGGAACTTGGTAGTTTATGTGTACATCATTGTTATTTTATATTATGTTGTCCTCTATTTTCAGAATTTTTCATCTACAGTACAGTACAGTATTTGTATTTTATTTTTTTTACCTCCCTTGATTTTTTAGGATGTAGCTTTTATTTCTAGTCCCTTTTGTATGTTACTGTTTTGTAGGGCTGTAGAAGGTTGCTCGGGCATCATGCATGTTGCAAGTCCTTTCCCTGATGTGACCAACAAGGTTGTGGCAGAAGAGGAATTGATCGGACCAGCTAAAGATGGAAGCTTAAGACTCCTCAAAGCTGCTGCTGCTCATGCCAACACTGTCAAGCGAGTTGTCCTCACCTCTTCTTTTGCATCTGTTTGCGGTACATTTCTCATGGTGTATAGTGCAGTCTTTGCCAGATTAAAAAAATAAATTATTGGGCACTTGGGTTGTAGCCCCAGTAAATATAATGAATTTTAGTGTCACAAAAGGAAAATACAGTACAATAACAGAATTTAGACAAAACTTATTTTCATTTTTGGCAATCCCTTTATTATAAGGCCCATGAAATATAGCCCTTGCTTTAATCTGGCCTAGATTGCAGTTATTGATACTGTTTCCTCATTTATTGTAAGTTTATATGCAGGGGTACTCATAGAGTTAATGTCGTTCTTATGGTGTACATTGTATGTGATCTTGTTTATTATGCCTTATCCTGTGCTGTATAACTGTTTTGTACCTCATTACCTTCATACTTATACGGTAATTGCAATCATATAAAACTTATGCTTTATGGAAATTTAAATATGATGTAAATGTTTTTTCCAAAGTTGCATGTGTTATTGCTAGAATTTGCAAGGACAGTGACTTAGTATTTTGATAATTGTGCATGGACAAGTTTTTTGATACTGTACAGTACAATACAAATTTAATTGATATTACAGTATATACTTACTGTGAATTATATTCAAGCTACAGGTATTTCTCATCACAGTTTCCTTCACAATTCAAGAAAAATATCACATTAAAAATTTGAAGAGTGTATACTATGCAGATTCCTAAATCCATCCCCAAACAAATATGGCTGTAGCTTTACCAACGTTTTTTCTTCAATCATTCAAGTCATATTATAGTATTGTACAGTAATAAGAACTACAGTAAAGTAAGTTTTGATGTAATAGAAGAATTACCAAATAGATCTCATGCCCTCAGCAGTATACATACATAGAAATGTATCCAAGGGAGAGGAGAGCCATGATCCCTTTACGGAGTGTTCATCACCTACTCTCGCACTGCAGCCCGTTGAGTATAACACATTCTTTTATATCCGCTGCTGCCTGTCAAATATTGTGCTAAATTTAAACTATATTTTTACTATTCATGAACTCAATCTTTCCCTTTACTGTTAGTGTACTGTATGAGTATACTATTTACTTACGAAGTCATCAAACTTTATGTGGGTAAATTATTATTCATGAGTAAAATTTAGGAATTGTTGCCATTAATGTGCAGAGGTTATTGAAATATACAGTATATTTTAATAATTCTTTATGTGAAGACGGTCAGTAGCTGCAGTAGTAGAGATGAATTCTGTAGTCAGTCTGTATGATGACAGATAACTGGAGCATGCTTGGGATCAAATGAATTATTGCTGGATTCCAAAATTTGATTGAGTTGGCTCCTAATTTCGCTGTGGGGATTCCTGGTATTATGAAAGGGGTATTTGATTTTATTGAGGGAATTCCCAGTTTTATTGAGGGTCTCCTGACTTTATTGAGGAGCTCCAGATTCTGTTAAGAGGATTCCTGATTTCATGTAGAGTGCTCCTGATGTTACTGGTAGAGCTACTGATTTTATAAAGAGTTCCAGATATAGAGGCTGCAAGAGACTATTCAACTGGGAGAAATGCATTTAGGTTATCACAGCTAACTCACCCAAATGTGGAAAATGACTTTTTATGGTGATGATGATGATCCTGACTTTCGTATAAATATTCATGATTTATTGATGAATCTTTTAATTTTCTTAGTCATTACCTATTATCCATATCACTTTATCAGTATTTAATGAATTCATCTATTGCTTAGTACTGAACTGCAATTTTAATTCCAATTACAGTAATATTATTGCAGTGTATAGAATTACCGTAAATTTTAACAGTTGCCGCAACTTAATCATCTCTTGATCTAGGTGAACCTGTCCCAGAGCCCGATAAAGAGTACAATGAAGAAAGCTGGACTGATGCGGAGTCTCCCACTATTGATGCATACACAAAGTCTAAAGCCATTGCAGAAAAGGCAGCATGGGACTTTGTTAAAGAACTACCAGGTGAGTGTATATTAATAACAAGTAAGATAATTATGGATTTTAAATGAGATAAGTAAGGAATTTAGGTAAGACACGTTTAGATTTTAAACATACTCGTACTGTAAAATGTACACTGTATCTATTATGAGCGAGAAGAGCAACTGCTGTAATATTATAGTAAAGTAAACAAAAGGGAAAATTTGAGCCAATTATATTTTGTTGGTATGAATCATGGCCTTTAGAGCAAAGAGAAGGAGAAAACTGAAAACATTAGAAATATGCTTGAGAGTAACATGTGGGTTGAATAAGAAAAAAAAATAAGGAACACAATTACTGTATCAGAAAAGACAGCAGAAGAGGAAGTTGGGTTATACAGAGCTGATCAGGGTTTGTTAAGGTGGTATGGATGTATTTAGAGAATGGGAAGCAAATGATATTGTATGATTCAGAGGTGAATGGTAGGAGGGTGAGCAGAAAGACCAAGAAGGAGATGGTGGAATAAGGTGAGAGAGGTACTAAAGGGGAGAGGGTTTGACTCAGTTGCCAATAGGGGAATGGGTATCAAAACACACAAAAACTGTACATGTTTCCACATAATTATAGACTGCAGAGGGAAGCAGACAAGTTATAGCAAGTTGTTACATCATTTGCTAAAGAATGCACTGCCATAAATAAAGCACTGCATAAGTAGTGAGTAGCAGCTGAAATTCCTCAAAGGAAGCAGCACTACAACGGTCTATGTTGACTGTACAAAAGTTTTTGGCTCTGTTCCATGAACTATCGATAAGTTATGGTAAACATTTTGAACAACTTTATTATTCACTCAACAAAATCTTCTTTTTTTTCAAAATTGTTAAGACAATACTGTATCATAATTTCAGATGACCAGAAGTTTGAATTAGCAGTGATCAACCCAACTCTTATCCTGGGACCAGCACTTACAGAAGGGCATAAGAATGCCACATCTGTCAGTTTTATGGTACAGATAGTAAATAAGGTATACCCCGGTGTTCCTCGCGTACAAATGCCAATTTGTGATGTACGTGATGTAGCAAAGGCACATCTAAAGGTTTGTATATTATTATTTTTTTCTTTTTCCTTTCTTTATGAAAAACCACTTATAAATATTTCTCACCCAAGCATCAGACAGCATGTACTGTTTAGAGTAGTATTTTCAAAGACTTTTAAAGTACAGTATACCACAGTATACATTATTGAAAGATATATTATTGAAATATCCCATCAGTGTAATCTGTTGTTAAAATTACCTTCTTTTTCAATTATTTAGGCCTTAACAATGCCTGAAGCAGTAAACAATCGCCACATCATCTGCACAGACTCTGTTTGGGTGAAAGACATATCAATGGCAGTAGCAAAGGAATTTAAGCCCCAGGGATACTCTATTGCTACTGGCCAATTCCCTTACTTTGCCTGTTGGTTGCTTGGACTCTTCAATAAGGGCATGAAAAATACTATCTTGCCCCGCATTGGAAAAACTATCAAGATTGATAATAAGAGGGTAAGAACCACTGAAGGAGCAGTGATCTTGTATGTTTTATATTGAGTTATACATTGTGGTGAAATGATTATACTTACTACTATTTCATAGTTTCGAATATATTTCCAATATCCATTATGACATACAGTACTGTATATATATTTATGAATCCCTCTGAGGAATGAGTTTAAGACCCCCTCCCCCCAATTAGATTGAATTTTTCAGAACCTTAAGAAAAATATAAATGTTAGATTGCAATGTAAACATTGAAACTAAGAAATAAAGTTGGAACAAATCAGTAACAAGCATAGAAGTTTCTTTATCAGATGAATGTTAAGGTTTTGCAGTGATTGTAGGTTGTGGTAAATGTGATGATTCTTGATAGATATTTTGTAACTACTTTTGACATTTAAGTATACTATACAGTACTGTAGTATTTTCCTGACCTTGCTAATACTGTAGTGCAAAACTGTTTAGTACTGTACAGTACACAGTATGATTACTTCCACCAAGCACTTGCCTCGGAAATTTTCGTATTCATATTCCTTGTAAGTATAGGCTAAAATTATCATCAAAAGCTACAATAATATATACAGTACAGTACATCCAATATCCATGACATACGGTACCTTGATCTAAATCTTATTGTGCAGGTATCGGGAAATTTTGTAATCCAATGAATCTTTTTACTCACACTGATAGTACAGTACACCTAAGGCGATAAGCTGAGAAAATAATTGTTTACTAATAAGAACATGGGAAGAAGTTTGATATAAACCTGAGGTCTGGCATGACTTTGAAGATTACAGTAATACCCCGATTTACGCGGTCAATTGAACCCGTGGAGGCTTTGTAAAATGGGAAACGCGTAAATGGAACAACAGAACATATGGGATTAATTGAAATAGAGACTGGGCCGACCCCCAAACTCCACTTTTTCAGACACAATACCTACGTTGTAGTAAAAATAACATTAAAATTTTATGATGGTATGCACACACAATTAATAATTAAGAGAAATATCAATAATATTAGGTTTTTTAACACTTACATTAGTAGAAAAGATGGCTGGGCACACGGGGATGGGGGTTGGTTCCAAGGCAGAGGGCAGATTATTGGCCCTCACCTGTATAACTTGTATCAATTGTATCACTATCCACCACAGAGGGTTGCAGGGCCTCTTTGTCAAAACCCTTAAAGTCCATAAAGTCCATATCCTCACTATCACTGACTTGGGCCGGCTGTGGTGGGTGGCAGGTGAAAAACTTGGTAATGTTTTGATGACTGGGCGACCTTGTGCGCACCCTGCCCGTGCCGCTTCCCGCATATATGAGTAGATGCACCGCGTAAAGTGGGAATTCCGGTTCTGGTGGGGTACCGCGTAAATGTGGAAACGCGTAAACGGGAACCCCATAAATCGGGGTATGACTGTATATTTTTTCTGGATACACTTTGTGTATTTAAACTCTCTCAGTGTACAGGTACACTTTTCTGCTGAAGTATACTGTATTTACCAACTTACCTAATGGTCAGGATCATTTTTAAGCTCAGTACAGTCCCATTATTATTTACACAGCTTTGCTGATAGACTGTTCCATAAGTGTACCACCTGATGAAGCACTTCCTTATATTTGTTCTGAATGACAACTCCTCTTGGGTTTATAAATACAGGGTATATGTAGCTGTACAGTATTCAGCACACTGGTGACATAAAGAGAAACTCTTTAATCCCTTTCTTTAAATATTGCAGTTTAAAATTGCAGTGTCAGAGACAAAAGACAGTATTTTACCCTCAACTTTTTGTTTACAGATGGTAGAGGTATTGGGTGTAGAACCAACAGCCATTGACTGTACCATAAATGATATGGTCTACTCCCTCGTTGATCTTGGCATTGCACGCAAAGCAAAGAAATACAAGCAAGTGAGTATTATATATTGTATGAAATTGTGGTGGTGCATTTATATCATTGTAAGCAAGTACTCTAGTAATATATGTACAGTACAGCTATTCCATTTGCCAAGCCTGACCACTTTCCCTGTGTTATGTCTTAGAGACCAGATACTCTGACCCTAGTTAATTTTTTTTCTAAGCTAATTTAGGTGGGGGATATAAATTCTAAACAAATTAGGTTGATGCACATTAACTTATGTGAAAAATTATTATCCTAGAGGAACTATTTTCTATGACATCTCACCCTCTGATTCCTTACCTCAGCTAGAGCACCATATCAGTGACACTAATTACCAAGTTTAGTAGTTCAACTGCTTATGAACATTGAACTGAATAATATTTGTAGAATTTTAGTTGTGTGCCATGGGACAGGGACAGAGGCAAGAAGGATATTATCCAGTGTAACCCTACCAAACATTGCAGGTTTACTCTTGTACTAACACTGGACAATGAAGACCGTAACAAAGTAGTGTCATAAAAAACAGTAATTTTGTAAAGACTAAGAATCATGTGGATCACGTTTATAATAAATAGAGAACATTGGGAACCCTAAAGATTAAAATAAGCCATAATCATTACAAAGAAGGCGGAAAGTGGAGTATCCAGAGTAAACTTGCGATGTTTAGTAGGATCACACTAGATAACACCCTTCCCATGTTTGTCCTGGGCCAAGATTTAAACCTAGGGCACAATGATGAGAGAAACCACCCAGTGTAATAATTTTTCCGTGCAGTTTCAAACAATAAAAATATGCAAGAACGTGAAGAAATGGTTATATATACAGGGTATATATATATATATAAATAATGCAGTCAATTTTTTCCCTATTGTGTGCAAGTTAAGCTATATAAAACCAATACAGTAGTAGTTACATAAAAATCTAAGAGACTTGCTCAGCCCTGTGATACTGTATATATAATTGTTGTTCACAGCCATAAAAACTGGTCAATTCTCATTTTATAATTCATTGTAATTTATGTGTTGACGTTCCTGGAGTGATTGTAAGAGTTTCACTAACTGAAACAAGAGAAGCACCTGACCCTTTAGAAGTAAAATGAAGCAAACATTTGACTGATTTTTAAATACAGAAATTTAAATCCCATATGATTTAAGTTTTCACACTTTTGAGTCAATCTGATTAAAACAGAAAGAAATGTTTGCTTCATTTTGGATGAAAGGGTAAGCTGAGGTGCCATGAAATATATTGCTTTTATTGTTAATCAGAATTCCAAACTATACAGGAGAAAGGGTTTCTAAAGTCAGAGACTATTAGTCCTAGCAAGTACTATGTCAGCTACACTTACTGACTGCCAACAGGGATCCACAATTGTGCAGAATTAATTCACACTTTTACAGTGGTCATAAGACAACCCAGACTCTTCAGTCTGTACTTTACATTGGCTTTATGAAGTGTCTTTGTGGGTAGCACCAAACATAGGTTCATTGTCATTCAAACTGCTCTTGTTTCAGATCAAATTAATGTTGTCTACTTATTGTTTATTTCATTTATAACAACTTTGCAGGCTGGTTCACGAGCAGAGGTGCCAGCTGTAAATGGAGAAGTTGAAGAAGACAAGAAAGAGGAGAAAGAGAGTGAAGATAAACCTGAAGAGGAAGGAGAAAAGAAAGAACTTGAGCCTGAAGATAAAGGTAAACAATGGGACCTTGTTGAAGGTTTTCCTTTAAATTTATTACATTTTTTTACTATTAAATATAGTTCTAAAAGAAGTTACAAAACTTTCTTTACATAATACAGTAATTTTTTTTTCCCAGGTTCATCACCACATCTAACACTGAGAAAGTATTCTTTAACCAATATCTCTTTTTCTCCAATAATTAGGTTATTTTTGTTTCATAATGCATAATGAAATTAATCATAAATTCAAATTTTACTACCGACCTTCGGTCATCAGTAGAGTAAGTTGTTGTAATGGTCATTGTCATTACTGTATTTGTCATCTTCACTGCCTGTCATCTTTCTGTTGTACACCTTCTCAGCTCAAAACTTTCAACATTGTCTCCAAGGAATTGGGGTTACTATAGGTTCTGTTGGAACTCAGACTCTAACTCAGAATTCATTTGACCATCTCCTGTGTATACTATGCAGTACTTTCCAAATTGACAGGGAAGACATGATAAACATATGACAGTGGAGGTTTGTATAATTCTTAGTACAGTACTTGGATACATATCAACAGAAATGGTTTAACACGTGATCAGGGCGTTTTATTATTATTATTATAAACCTTCCAAGGATTTTCCCATGATGATATAGGGTGGTTGGAATAAAGAGGAAGTACAGAAGATCCTTTCACTTGTCATCACTCTGAGTCTAACTGCTGTGGCATCCACATAAACCACTTGATTCCATGCTTTCTAATCATTTATGTGCACTGCTGCTTCATGGATGCTTTCCTCGGTTTATTTCCATTTCATCTACACCTGGGTTATCATTTCACTTTTTCCCTTTATGTCCACCCTTCACTTATTCCCAGAATGTTATTACCTTATGGCTATCAACTGATCCTTTAACCTAACTTAACCTAATAATATGCCATTTTGAATAATATTCACATCTATATAATTTCTTCATTCATTTACTTTCCTCTGAACTTTTCATGATGAAACTGACAGAATTATAATTTTTTCTGAACATCATTTATCATAATGTATTTATTTTAAATACCATTTGTCAGAAATTCCTGAATTAATTAAAAATTTTCTTTTCTAGTGGTGCCTGGCTCTGTTACCTCAGCGTGGGTGTGAATATATAAATTACCATTTATGTGGTGTATGTATTCAGTTATTTATACGTGCGATTAATTGTTGGTGTAATTATTTATTCTCTTCATGACTCTGGCACCAGGCTGGGCACTTTAATGGCATTCAAGGGAAGCTGGGGGTATATGTGTTGTACAGTACAGTACTGTACTGCAGTTAAGATTCAACTTGTCTTCAGTACAGCCTCGGAAATCCATAAATGTTGGAACCACTAGAATCCAAGATTTTTATATTTTCCGGTTTTACAAATAAGATCATTCTCCCTATACACCCCTTCCCCTTGGAACCACTTTTTTTTTTTTAAGTTCCTGAAATACACTGCACTGTAACTTGTCCACAAATATGCCAGTCGAGTTAAGAGGTAGTAGACATCTCACTCAGGGTAACATTAGTTTTTCTTATAATTTACTTGGTCCTTTTATTGTTAATGTAATTTTAATTTAAACAGAACTTTAAGTTCTTTTTTTAATTTAATTTTATATTTGTGATGTCTGATGACAAACAACATGGCTGATTTTTGGAGGCTGGCACACACTTCTACAGTATCTTATAACTAGAACTTACCTTTAATTGCATTCAATAGTGAAATTCTGAAGCATTAATGTACTGCTGTAACTGATTCCCAGATTTCAGAGGTTCTACTATCTATGAATTTTCTTATTCTTGCTGAGTATTTCTGTTTCATCAACACTAAGTATCATGAGTATCACCCCTCAAATTCATTGGCTGAACTGTGTCTGTGTGTTATTGTACAGTGCATCTCAGTTCCCTCCTTCTGCTGACCTGTCCTGCTGGATGAATAACTGTGATTTCTTTTCTCCTTTTTTGTACTATAATTGCATGTCTTTACTGTCCATATTGTAAATGTTGTCTCACCACTTATCTGTGTGTCCTCCGTATTATTCCTTTGATTATGTTGGTCAAATCTCTCTCTCTTTTTCATATCATCATCAGAAGTTTCAAATAAAGGGAAAGAAATGGAAAATTATGAAAGTACTGTAACAGGAATGAGGTAAAAGTACAAATAGAAATACTCCCTATATACACAAGTTACGTATACATGTTTTCTCCTCTAATTAAAGGCAGATGTTCCCTCAAGAAATGACCTGTCATCTGTTATGGTATCCATGGGTTAAGATTTTTCTCTGTATGATTTGTTCTTTTCACAGGTCCTCATGGTTTTACTTTGGGTGATATACAATTTAGTGTAGTAAACAGTTAGTATCTATAACTACAGAGAATAAAATCAATGGGATGAGACAATTTAAGGTTTTTAAAGAAGCATTGTTAGATATGAAGGCAGACATTGCCATATATGGTGTTTATATATATCAAGTGTAAAATCCCTTTTCTTCATACAATTTTTCATGTTGTCTAATCTTTTTTCTTATACAACAATATAAGAAAAAGAGTTACAGGTACATAATTCAGAGGTCATTTTCAGTACGTGAATCAAACAGAATTGAGCATTTATTATCAATGTGTTTAAGTTGGTGGGTGTGGGCAGCAAAAAACTGACATACATACACAGGTTCTATGTAACATACCCCATACCTTTTATCTGTTTTATGCATCACCACAACGATATTACCACAGTGTTAAGTGTTTGTCCTGCTTGTTTTCTGTGTCTGTCTGTTAATGTGTGACATAAATTTCTCTAACCAGCATCTTCTGTTCACCGCTCCTTTCCCCATCCCATCTCTAGGTACTATGTGAAGCACATACGAGTAAAGAGGGTACTCAGAGGTTGCTCCGTTTGATTGTTTTCTCGTTTTTTCGGGCAACATCCCAGGTGCCCCCACCCCTCCTTTTTTTTCCTTTTTTTCTCTTTTTTTAAAGAAAGAAAGATCAAAGTCGGATACAATAATGACCAAGTGCTTTTGGCAGCCATTCTTCTCAACTATCAAAAACAAATTCTCATTTCACTCTCCTTCATCCATTTATTCTAACTGCTGTGATAGTTCATAATCACTCAATACCACCCTCTTCTGTTATTCACTGACACACTGTTGCCTCCAAGATGTCCTCCTGTGTTCTAGTGTAGTACTTCCTTCATCTCATCCTTCCATCTCCTTTTTTATCTCCCCTTCTCCTCATTACATATTCATATCTTAAAATGTTTGTTGGAAGAGTATTCCTATTATAGTTTAATTGTTACACAAGCCAAGTACAGTAGTCACATTTTGCTTGTACTCCAGATGTCAAAACACCCCCAAAAAAATCTTAAAGTACTTACTGCTAGAATGTGTACATTAGTGTATAAGCCAAGTGAAGATGCTCTTTTCTTGTACACGGTCTATTTTATAGCTCATATGAGAATACGGTACTGTACAGTGAAAAGAGAGTTTCTGAGTAAGAGGCATTATGATTACAGTATTTCACTTTTGAAACCTTTAAGACTAAATATTACAGTAACAGACCATTTTTCTGACTTCCAAGAAACTAAATTTACCTGAAAATTGGTTGTTTTTGAATCTAGTTAGTTATGAAATTGGTAATGCCACGATGGCACTCGCCTCAGTTTTAACCATCCGACTGATGTCTGTGTTTACTTGCTGCTCTCAACTTTTTGTGGTTATTTACCACAATTTATATCATCATCATCTATTAACATATTTAAAAGGATACAAAAAATCCACTTGCTAATGGAAAGTCGAAAAGAATTTTTTTTCGCTCCAACAATGCATCGCCATAGTCTTTGTTTGTTTGTCATGATGGTTGATTCTCCTCACACTCTCTCACCAGCATTTTGACTAGTGGTTTGTGACAGTTTACTTACTGCCTAACCATTCACTACCCAAGAATGATGTAATATAAACTTTAGATTAAGAAAATTGAAGAGCATGGTTGTTTATTCTATATGGGAGGTGAACACATATATGGAGGCCTATTTCACTTTAAACACATGCATCTGTACTGTAAGTTTACTTTATGCTCTTCACCACCGATTGTCAAGTTAAACTTGGTTACATTTATGCTAAGTTTAAAATAACTATTTCATTGTTCCTGCCTTATGTCGACAGCCGTGTGACATCATGGCATGCAAACAATGTAGTAGCCACAAATGTATCTGAATAAGCTAGGTGCCTGCTGGGACTCAAATTCATATAAGTAGCGAAGGATAACCTGTGTCCTGTACAGTATAATTCTTCCCCTTTGTGCTGGAATCAGGTGTTAGGGAATGTGGAAAAAATATGTTTGTATATGAGTGTGCACATTTGTATAGGCATCTTGTGAATTTGAACTCATGGAACAAATTAGAATGAAGTTTGATTGAATCAGGTATGTGGACGGAACTCAAGAAGATCTCAGAAATTTGATAATCAATATATTGTCACCTTATTCAGGTGAATTAATACCTATTTTGTTTTTGTGGACCCTCGTGGTTAACTTTTGTTTTATTTTTGTTATACGATCACTGGGATGTAATGATAAACTCGTGATATTGCTTGTACAGGTATAGTGCTGTATATCTTAATGAGGCTCTTGATATTTTTTCACCATAACAGTTCACATGAAGACTACTACAATGAAGTTTTTAGGAAAGCAGTTTATACTGTTATCATTAGTAATGTAATCAACCACACCTAACACTCTCAAACTTAATGATTGCAGAAAAGAAGGAGGGTAAAGAAATAAAAGAGGACAAACCGGAACAGAAGGAAGACAATAAAGACAAAGAAGAAGCTGCAAAGGAAGAAAAGAAGGAAGAAACCGAGTCTGAGAAATGAAAGTTGAAAAGGAGGAGTAAGAGTGAAGACTATTCTGACCTCTCCAAATTTCGTATCTGGATCAGTTTGAGTTTTGATAGTCCGACTGAGTGTGGGGGGATGGTGCAAACGTATAAGTAGAGGCGAGTGGTCACAAAACTTTTGGGGAAGAATGTCTATATGTGGAGTCTATTATTGTTTTGTCTGTTGAAAGGTGCTCAGTGTTTTATGTTCTTCAATACTTCATGTGTAGTTTTAATTTTTTTTTTATCAGGTTTGTGTTCAGTATTAATTTTTTACCATATCTACTTATAAATGTATGTACTGTACTGAGTCAGTGTGAAGTCTGAGAGGATTTGTGTGTTACTACAGTAATCAGCAGTTTGAACAAAATATTGAAGTGACAGATTATAATGACTTTTCAAAGTAGCATGGAATCGCTAATGCAAATGAATAGGCTGAGAATATAAGATTTTATTTTCCTCATGATTTGACAATAACTTACCTAAAGTCACAATTTTAGCAGCTTCAAACAGGATATTCCATTTGATTAATTGAGGTGCCTTGATTTTTTGAAACCTTGATGTGATAATAGTCAGGCCAGACAAGAGGGATGTTCTCCTTAAAACTTTTGGGAATTGCACATCCACACTGGCATTTAATTTACTCTGCCTTACTCAAGTGCATCTGATATTTATTACAGACTTTTATACACAGAAGGCTTGATTATCGTATTCTATTAGCCTGTTTAATACTCCCATAACTCAAACTCCTCAAGATCCTTAAACAAAGATTGGCTGGAATTACTATCACTGCTAAGGGAGTAGTGTGAGACAGTATTGGCTTTATTATCCAAATAGTGAATAAGCAGTGGGGGTTAGAAGGTATTATATCAAGGAAGAAAGGTTAATGACTGTGTTTACAGCAAATCTTTAGAATTATTTAAGGCAAATATTTGTCATGAAACTTTGCAAATTGCCATCGTATTCCATGATGGAATGTCAAGTTATTAGTGGTAATATTTATCTAACAAGGTGAATCATCAAAATCTAGATGCTCAGAAATTAACAAGATGACTTGCAGTTCACTTAGCATAAATGTCTGGAACTTGTCTTCCTCTTCTTTCTCTTCACAGGAGTTTTATTTACCAAGTACTACAAAGAGGATAGTCCAGGCACTAGACAATTACTATGTGTTTCTTGGTGTTGAGGTTTTGGGGGTTTACCTTTTATCTGTGATTAAGTAATTGGTGGTGACAAGAAACCCTTACAATGTTCTCCATGCTTACAATTTGTAGTAGCATTTTCTTATGAATGTATATATTTTTACTATTTCTTAATTTTGTATGCACTTGTATGAAATGTCAAATGATGTGATATTTTTGTTATTGCTCAATTTAGTTTGCAGTAGAATGAAATTCTTATCTGATGAAAAGTTTCTGCAATAGAATGTGTGCATCTTGCACAAAAAAACACACACGTAGAAACTCTGGTAGCTTTTGTACCAGCTATAATATTCTTATAACCCTAACATTGATTCTTGTATAACAGGAAATTGTAGTGAAGGCACATTTTCATTATTTCTCTAAATGTTGGAGCATTATTTTCTCTGCTGCTGCAATAGCTTGTAAGTCCAAATTATTTTATAACTCCAGGGAGTTTTCTCACCATGACACTGATATGGTAAATATTTGAGATTTAAAAGTCATAGAATTGGAAAGAGTTCCCTCTGATGGGTGATAGAAATGAAAAATTTATGTTATACTGTATATTCTAGAGTGAAAGTGTTTTTAAAATCATTGAAGTTCTATATTATTTGCATAAAACATAACCCCAAAAAAACAATACAAGGAAAATCCGACAGGTCCATGTTAAGCATTACCAGAATCACAAATATAAGTCTTTGATATGATGGAGACTCATGTTTGTTGCTACCATAATGTGGGATCAGTAAGGTGAATACATGTTGGCTGGATTGTACCTTGATGGAGGTAACACTGAGTTAATGCATTTAATGTCAGTCATGACTTAATGTGTGTAGCTTTTGAGGCTGTTCACTTCATCCACTGGCTAGCATTCCTTCATTTATTTTATACAGAAGATTTATTCCTCGTAAATGGGTAGTGCACACTAGGCCTATCCTTATGCATTGTTTCATTATGTTAAAGATAGTTTGCGGGGAGTGTACAGACACTTCTAGGCAGTCTCTTGAAAGTTCTTCTCGTGTTCCCATTTCTCTTCATAACACTTGTAACTACAAAAATAGAAATATGTAAAAAAAAAAAAAATATAGCCTCCTGGTATGTTTGATAAGATGGCTTATGGGATGCTGAGTGTTGCTAAACTGTGAGGGACAAGTAAAGTGGATGTTTATCTTGTACTAAGAGAATGTTAACCTTTATAACTTCCATCATAAGCCAAAACTTGTCGCTTCAATGATATATATCCAAAGGTAGGTAGGTTTTTGATATATACTGTATTTAAGTAAAGGCCACCTTCACCCTGCCATTACTGCCAAATCTTGTGGGGCCAATTCTACAGTGTCAGTATATGATATACAATCAAAGTACGTATATGTTCAAGGCAGATACTGTAATGGATCATACTCCATGCTTGATGGGTTTATTTTAGGATTGATTATGAATATCATTCCCTTCAGTCAGCAGAAACTAGTTAAATGCACAAACTGGTAAAGGGCCATCTTTAATTATAAAGTCTTTATACTGGCATACACAAAGTTCTATTTATCTTCTCACTTCCCTTCTCCCAGCTTAGAGTACAGCAGACAATGATAAATTTCCACTCCACTATTCATTTACTGCTACAAATGTGTATATGTGATAGAAGCAACTGTCACTAGGGTATGCTAATGATAATGTAATTATAGATGGCCCTAAGATATATAAATGTGATTTAGGAGTTAATTCATGACAACGTCCATCTGATAACTCATCCCTCTGCTCCTCCATTAGAATGATTAAGTATTGAATGAATGTAATTTAGATTGCAGCTGGATGATTATTATGCAAAGGCCAGAAAAGTTCATTGTTAAGAGTTGGTGTAAGCTTGGCTGGAGCCAGATTAAGAAGCTAAAAGTGATCACATGGATATTAATATATGAAGCTCCCCAGTAAAGATAGTATTACAAGTAGTGAATTGTTATTTCTATGCATGTTACAAGAATGCAGAGGCTGAAAAAGTGAAGTGATGGCCAAGGTTTGCAGTGGTTGTGATGGCTTTGTGATGCATCAAGGACAGTAAAGGCTGAGTCTGTAACCTGTTGTATTTTTAATCCTGAAATAAACAAAGTACTGTACACTGTGTTGCATATTAATATATGTCAGTATTGTACTAATAAATTTTGATAGGTTGATAAAATATTGCATACATTTTAGATTCTACTAATGTATGTGGTCAACTTTTCTCTTCCCCTCTCTGAATTGCTGTAAAATGAACCCTCGAAGATCCGGACTAAAAGGGGGGGGACCACCTGTCCGGAAAAGCCGATTGTCCGAATTTCCCTGCAATTATTATTATTATTATTTTTTTTAATGGGGATTAGCACACCTGGGCACACCCAAAATACAGTACTTATGTAGTGATAAACAAATTACCATATATTAACTATGCATTTACCTATAATATTCCCACCAATAACAATTGTCAACTCTGTTTGTTTCCCACCTCCTCGGGCATCGGTGTCCAAGCAACTGACAGGTCAAGCAGCGCCCACGGGCCTAAAATGTTTTTTGCTCTGGTTTGAGAATGTTTCTTAGGGAAACTTCTAGGAGGCTTCTTAGGTAGTAGGTAGTAGGCAGCTACCAAACAGGGAGGTACTACCGCCTGGGAAGATATTGGAAGCATAATGTGTTGTCTAATGGTAGACCCTGCTGCCATATGGCATCACGAAAATTGTGACCAAGTCCCAGGTTGCTGATCTGACTTTCTGCCTCATTTACACACAATTGCAGGGTCTCAATTGTTTCTCTTACCATTGACAACACAACATACGTATATTGTTTCTCACTTTTGATCTTTTTTTTATTTTTGTATTTCTTTATGGTTCTTTATTATTATTATTATTATTATTATTATTATTATTATTATTGTTATCATCATTATTTTATTATTTTTTATTTTTTATTATAAATTTTACTTATCTGAATTGTTATTATTATTACATTTTCGCTCACCAGGCCCCGATGTGGGTCAATGACCTGTGCCCGGGTGGGCTAATCCCAGTAAAAAAATCATGGGTTTCTAAAGAGTAGCAAAGTTATAACGAAACAATGTTGTCGGGAGCAACGTTAAACAAGGACTTAGTACTGTACTGTACACTTTTTCTGGCTTGACATTCTGGAGTGCCTTAAATAGTTTTCTCCAAAGTTTGCAGGACAATTCAAACAGTTTACTTTTGTTTTTGTTTTTCACTTGCTGTGCCTTTCACTCGAAAAAAAAATACTGATGGGACAATGGGTGGCAGCAGGGAGGGTGGGGGCTACAATAAACTGCACATCCAGTTCAACTTTTTCATGGGTAGGATTCTACCTGAAGACTCCTGCATGCAGGCTACCACATACACGCACTTATGACAAAGTTACACAACATCTACTCACTGGTGAGACTGTTAAAAGTCACTCTGGCTCACTCTCAGATTTATAGAAAAGGAAACTGGTCTGTACATTTTCAGCTCTCCAGAATAACAGTTTTGAAGAAAATAGTAGCCACGAACAGCCACACAGATGTACCAGTACAGTACTAACAAACTGTAGCACAGACAGATTTATAATAATTACTGTATATACCTCTTTTCTAAATATTGGAGGGGGCATAGTAATAGTTGGCTGCAAGAAAAAATATTGGCAATCCAACTTAGAGATATTACTGAGATCATTTGTTCCAAAAGACACTTTTACGGAAGGGCCTGGGGAATTTCAAAATGAACACCATGACTCCTGTTGTCTCGGTAGGGTCGTCAAAATCCTCTACCTATTGTGTCGTATTGTCTCACAAAATCATAAAGATTCTTTTTTGGAGTGAGTGTACATTCACATACCAAATTTCATTGAATCGCATTTATATTTGTTAACATTATGTCCGGATGCACACTAATTACATGCTTCACGTCACTTGCCTCCGACACAATGACAGGTTGCAGCAAGTACTTTTTTAACTCTAAAACAACACCAGATAATGCATTGATAAGATATATACACAGAGTCTCCCACAAAAAAAACCCTCCACAGCCTCTTCTACACTGAGGAACAAAAACTTCTTCCACAGCCAAAAGATGCTCCCTTTCATAACCACAAGAATCCTCAGCTCATAGTGACAACAAAAAGATGTATACAGGTTTAGGTATAAAGTACAAGTTACAGGTACAGTATTTATTCACACCCATTTGTTTTGTATTCATGGCTACAGTTCTGAAAAAAGAGGGCTGAAATATGGTATGGTTATTTATATTCAATACGTAACACTAATTTTGGTGCAGGACAAATAAAGGCTAGGAGCTGCCCCTCAAATCCACCCCACAGAAATATGAGAGAGGTTTTTGCATCCCTTCATGTGATCTCATTGAAATCCTCCAACAACCACCACCACAGACTACCCCAGTACTCACCTGGACAAGGTACAGTACCAACAAAATGTACAAACAGCCGAATTTGTTAATGTCATCTGCAGGGCCGTCCCTAGGAGGGTGCGGGGCCTGGGGCAACTCAGTCACTGCGGGGCCCCACACTAAAATAATAATAATAATAATAAACGGTTTATTAATAGAGTTGCAGCCGGTGGCTGAAAATATACAGACTTACATTTGATTTAGACATAATGATATAATATGCATTGAATACATTTACAGGGCTGTACAGTACATAAATCAGGAGTTGTTTATAATTTTAAGAATAGATGGGATGGTGCTGTTCTTATATCTATCGGTGCGGTCTCTTATGGGCTGAATTTTGTTGTAGTGGCGGACTGCGCGAGTTGGGTGGGGGGTGGCAGGAGGTGGCGATGGCGAGGGTGGTGCAGTAGTCCATGGCCAAACCTTTCCAGTGCTTGGTGGTGGAGGTCACTGAGGGATGGCATTTCCAGGATGGAGAGAGCGTTGGTGTAGCCGGAGTATTCTGCGCCGAGCATGATTCTGCAGGCCCTTTTCTGTACCTTCTCTAGCTAGTGTCAGATTTTGCGGTCAGAGGAACCCACCCCCCACCAACCCTCATGGGACTGTCGCTATGGATGGTAAGGTCACGGTTGCAATGGTGGCGTAAGCCGTCAGGTCAGATTAACCAGTCAACAGGTAATGTGTCCGGGGTCACTGGGTCTAGTGCTGGGTCCCGCGGGGCCCCAGGCGGTCGCCCCCCCCCTAAAGGACAGGCCTGGTCATCTGTCAGGAAAGTTCGTATTAACATGTAATAGATAAACACTGCATTTGATTCATGGGTGTTCAAGTGTGTAAGTGAAGCACTTCATGTATGTTCGAGTGACTGAGGCAATATTTGGTGTGGAGTGCTCTGGCCACCAGGAGCATGTTACTCACTCACTTGCCGGCACAGAGGTCGGTCAACTCTCAGTGGTTCTGGGTGTGTAATGCATGTTACCTCCAGAGATTCAGTCAAGCTTAATGCAGGGTCTGGGGTGCCTGCCTACCTCTCCCTCTGACATGGAACCTGTCTGTCTACTTCTTCCTGTGATGTGGAGCCTGCCTGCCTGCCTCTCCCTGTGATGTGGAGCCTGCCTGCTTGCCTACTTCTCCCTCCGCAGTGGAGTCTGCCTGCCTGCCTGCCTCTCCCTGTGACATAGAGCCAGCCTGCCTACCTCTCCCTGTGACGTGGAGCCTGCCTGCCCAACTCTCCCTGTGATGTGGAGTCTGCCTGCCTGCCTGTCTCTCCCAGACATAGAGCCTGCCTGCCTGCCTCCTCCCTGTGACATAGAGCCAGCCTGCCTACCTCTCCCTGTGACGTGGAGCCAGCCTGCCCACCTCTCCCTGTGATATGGAGCCTGTCTGCCTGCTTACCTGCCTACCTCTCCCTCTGACGTGGAGCCTGCCTGCCCACCTCTCTGGAGCCACCTCCGGGAGCCTGCCTGCCCACCTCTCCCTGTGACGTGGAGCCTGCCTGCCTACTCTCCTCTGACGTGGAGCCTGCCTGCCTACCTCTCCCTGTGACGTGGGAGCCTGCCACCTCTCCCTCTGACGTGGAGCCTGCCTGCACCTCTCCTGTGTGGAGCCTGCCTGCCCACCTCTCCCAGACGTGGAGCCTGCCTGCCACCTCTCCCTGTGACGGAGCCTGCCTGCCCAGACGTGGAGCCTGCCTGCCCACCTCCCCCTGGAGCCTGCCTGCCCACCTCTCCTGTGACGTGAGCCTGCCTGCCCACCTCTCCCTGTGACGTGGAGCCTGCCTGCCCACCTCTCCCTGTGACGTGGAGCCTGCCTGCCCACCTCTCCCTGTGACGTGGAGCCTGCCTGCCCACCTCTCCCTGTGACGTGGAGCTTGCCTGCCCACCTCTCCCTGTGATGTGGAGTCTGCCTGCCTACCTGGCTTGCCCCTCCCAAAGGCTGCCTTGCTCTCCAAGGAAATTTTTAATTATATTCCTTTCTCATATAGACGAATTTGGATTTGGTGAGAACATCTCAATGGTATTTTTACTTTGCATAATTAAACAAAATTAAAAGTATTCATCTATTTTCATCGTTCCCATTGCCTATCATTTATAAACTGAATAGCACAAGGAAGTAAATCATATTGCTTGCAGCCACACGAAAGCAAACCTTGCTATAAGGAGATTATAGTGAATATGATCAACTGTATGAGGAAGCAGAAAAGTTTGTAACCAAACTCGGCATAGTTGTTCCAGAGGCAAACACTCGACAACATGAAGGATCAGCTCGTACCAAAAGAGTGCATCGAATGTCAAATACTTTGAAAGATTATCTGTCAAACAGCACCCTGGAGAAGCGTTCAAAACATCTAGAGAATGTTCAGAGAAGCAGCTTAAAAGACCAATTGAAGTCAGAGTTGTACTTCTCAGTAATTGACAGGTGCACAGCTGAATATGATCTGCAATCCATCTTCTCTGCTGATGTTCAATCTAAACAATTTCTTGATGAAGAAAAGCTTGCTTTGTTTTCTAAACATTACAATGCGTACACTGATTCAGTTATGATATCGTCACAACTGCATTCTGCGAAGGTATTCTTAGATCAGAAAAAAGCCTGAGGACATATTTGATGTCTACCAGAATCTAAATGCTTTACCGATTGCTTTTACTGAAGT